GAAATTGAGTCTATATATTTTAATTTTACCTTTTAAAGTTTTATTAGTTCTTTGAGCATTTCAGACGATGTGTTTTGATCACATCAACCCCTATCCCAACTTCTCCCTGATCCACACCCCCTTTCCCTCACTACCCATCTTGGGGTCCAGCCAAGAATCTATGACCAGACAGGTCATAGCCCCTAGAGCAAAACTTAATACTATTATTCTGCTAAATGGACATAAAACTTTTTAAGATAAAACTTTTTTCACCACATGAAATTGAACTACTTGAGGATAAATTGTAAGTCTGACAAAACATTCATGGCTGTAATTCATTCGGGCTGTATTTCATTCTTTGCCACCTGTATATTCATGAGAATCTAATTTAGTCTCATCTGCACAAAGAAGAGCAGTTGCCATGAACTTGGGCTGTATATCTGTTTTGCTTAGTAATTCTTTCTGCACTACGGTTCTAATTATATTCTAAATATTTATCTAGAACTTAGACTGATCTCCCAACCCCTACTCCATTTAGCTCCATACCATCAGTTGGCTCTAAAACCTTAGAATATCCTAGATTCCCAAGAGTTTAATTCTCAAAGTTCTAAGTCTCAGTGGACTCTATGTAGTTGCCATCCATAAAGGAGATGTGTTGGCTCTTCCTTTTCCTTCACCAACCCCAACATCAAACAGTCAGTTCGCAAAAGTCTTGCCAATTCCACCTGTAAGTATTTCTCAAATGCTTCCACACTGTATTTCCATCCACTGTCTTCCTATACCATTATCTCTGTCAGGATCATCACAACAAGCCTCCAAATGGTTTCTCCATCTGAAATTTCACCACGGTACAACTCATTCTTTGTACTACAACCAGTGTATGGTTTCAAATTTTGCTGTTATTTTATGTGTATGGATGTTTTGCATATACACAAGTCTGTGCACCATTTGCAAGCCTCATGTACACAGAAGCCAGATGAGGGCATCAGCTCCCCTAGAACTGGAGTTACAGATGGTTCCAAGCCACCATGTGGTTGCTGGGAATCAAATCCAGGCCCTCTGGAAGAGCAGCCAAGGCCCTTAACCATGAGCCATCTCTCCAGCACCTAGAGTATTTTTTAAACCAACAAGTAAGCTGTTACATACCAACTTTAAAACTTACAGTAGTTTCTAACCTTTTAACATCATTCACAAAGCTGCCTGATATGCCCCTATTTACCTTTCCACCTTTTGCTGTCTTCTTACTGAGGACCACCTTCAGTTACAGGATCATCCTCTCTATATACATCATGATTTCTTTCACTTCTGGAGGTTTGTGTGTGCCCTTTGGGGAGTTCACTACCTCCTATATTTAAGCTGTATCAGGACACATTTCCACTTTTAATTCTGTGCCTAAGTACCTCTCTGGTTTCCTTGTCAGCCTGTCACTCAAGACTGTTAGGTCTATGAACAAGGGGGAGTTCATGGAACTCAGTCTGATAGCTGGGAAACCAACATAGGACTGACCCAGACCTGTGGAACGTGGGTGTCAGTTAGGAGGACTGGGCAATCTATGGGGTCTCTGGTAGTGGATCAGTATTTATCCCTAGTGTATGAATCATCTTTGGGAGCCTATTCCACATAGAAGGATACTGTCTCAGCCTAGAGACATGGGGGGAGGGCCTAGGCCTAGGCTCTGCTCCAAATTATATGACAGACTTTGAAGACCCCCCCACTCTCCCTGGGGAGCAGAGAGGAGATGGGCTGGAAATTGGGGCTGGGGACAGGGGAGAAGGGGAGGGTGTGGGAACTGGGATTGACATGAAAAACAAGCTCCTTTCAAATTTAAATAAAAATTATCATAAAAAAGACTGTTAGGTCTGAAGGATGCAGCCATGTCCCTCTAATTCACTATGAAACTTTACTGCCTAACTCTGTGTGTAAGGCATAAGAAGTATTACATCTTCTTAAAAACACAAGTTTAGAATGATGGCTGCAAAAGCAGTACAGATAGTTCCTTTCTACTACTATCCAGTTTCAGTATTAATATCTTTCATTAATGCAATATACTTGCCACAACAAACAGATATGTGTTGGTATCTCATTATTAACTCAAGTCCATGTTTTCCCTTTTAAATAATATTTTATAAGTATCTTCAGCTTTATATTATTATTATTATTATTATTATTATTATTATTATGTGTATATTGCATGGTGTGTGTGTGTGTGTGTGTGTGTGTGTGTGTATGTATGTATGTATGTAAGTGCAAGCATATGTGTACGGAGATCAGAGGACAACTTTCAGGGGTTTGTTTTTTCCTTCCCTCATGACTTCAGGTAATTGAGTTCAGGTCATTTTGCGCAGCAAGTACTTTTACCTACTGAGCTACGACACTTAGGGCTGTCCTTTATTCACATTTCCTTAGCTTTTACCTCATATCCCTTTTCTGCTTCAGGACCCTGTCTGTAATACCTCATTTACTGCACCAGTCTCCTTGAACACACACCTCTTGGCTTCCATACTTCATTGGACTTTCCTTATGCCTAATTACCTTAAGCACTCTGAGAAGTCCAGTTACATATTCTGTCCCATATCCTTCCTCTGGGGTTTGTCTGACATTTCTCTCCTGATTAGGCTAGGGTGACAGCATGGAGGGGAAACCACAGGAGCAAGTATCATTTACATATGGCTATTTGCTGTCGATGGGACTTCTTGATGGTGACATTTGTTTTGAGCACCTCACTTGTGCTTGTCAAGTTTCTCTGTAGTACTTACTCCTTTCTCTGTCTTTCCTCGCTGTATTCAGGAAGATACTGGGTCTAGGCTTCCTTTGAGGGAAAGAAGGTATTTAGTCTCCTCCTTGTGTTTACCAATCCAGAACCATGGATCTTCACTATACATAGGTTCTAAGTCAAACACTGCTCTCTCTATCTTGTTGTCCAGATTGTTCCTTCTTTGGCCAGTGGGAGCTCTTACCATGTTTATCTGATGTTGATTTGTCTGTCTTAAACACATCCCTTTCTGGCACAACATGATGTTTTTCATGCCCCAGTCTTATATTGACCGTTTCTCCAAGACTCCCTGACTCCTTTCAAATGTAATGAGAAACCACAGGGTCTCTGGGGATAGTACATAATTAAGTTAAATTTTTGACTCATTTAGAAGCCACAGATGTACAAAGGATGATGTAATAGTTCCACCACCCAAAATGAACAAGTATTATTTTTAATTTTGCTTCTGATAAGTTTTAAGAGAAAAATGCTTAGAAGGTTAAAGGTCATTTCTCACCTCTCTGTCTTGCCACAATCAGTCAACTACAGTCTCCACATATAAATTCTCTTCTTCAAACATGTAGACTCTACATTGAAGAAAATACTTGCAGAAGCAAATACATGTTAAGCAAAGACTGGCCTTTAATTGTGCTGTGTCCCCAACTTCTGAGCTGCTCTATGTGGTAGCTGTGACTCTTCCCTCCACTGTTCCACTCTTCCTAAAGCTGTGCTTCCCCCTTGCCCTTCCTTCAGATCCATCTCATCCATCCTTGATTCTCCATAGGCTGCCCCATGTATCATCCTTTGCACAAGAAAGAGGATGTCTTAGTTAGGATTCCTATTGTTATGAAGAGACACCATGACCATGACAACTCTTATAAAAGGAAACATTTCATTGGGGTGTCTCGCGTATGGTTCAGAGGTTTAGTCCATTATCACCATGGTGAGAAACAAGGCATCATGCAGGCAGACATGGTACTGGAGCTGAGAGTTCTATATCTTGATTCAAAGGCAAAAGGAAGTGTACTGATACACTGGCCATGGCTTGAACACATATGAGAACTCAAAGCCCACTTCCACAGTGACACACTGCCTCCAACAAGACCACACCTACTTCAACAAGGCCACACTTCATAATAGTGACACTCCCTTTGGGGACCATTTTCTTTCAAACTACCATAGAGGATGTTATAAGCTTTGTGAAAGCTTTGGGACTTTAAAAAATTTGTTGTTTGACAATTTCATACATGTCTATATGCATTCTAATTAATTTCATACCCACTCTCTCTTCCTCCCCTGTCAACCCAGTTTCTCCCTCCAAATCCCTTTCTCACATTCATGTCTTCCTATCTTATTTTGTTAACCACTGACTTAAACCAAGGATGTCTCTTGGAACTTGGTGGTCTCACCAATGGATATACAACTGAGGATAATGAGTTCTCTTCTCCCAGAATCTATCAGTAGCCAAACAGTTCAGTGGGGGTGGGGGGTGGATTCCTCCATTCATAACTGATTGTTGACAGGACCAGTCTTGTGCAAGGCAAGTGTGTATAAGCACAGCTGCTGTGTATTTATGATTGTAATGGCTGTGTCATGTCTAGAAGATGGCATTTCACAGTCCTCCCTGTCTTCTGCTCTTAAATTCTTCTCACTCCCTCTTCTATGGTATCCACTCTCTGAGCTTTAGAGAAGTTTTGAACTGCAAAGAACTGTGCAAATGTATGGTCTTACTACTCTGCTCATTGTGGTGGTGGGGGACGACCTTGAACTTGACATTTGGTGTATCATTTGTTGTTTAGAACACCTGGCTCTTTAACAACTATTTAAAATCGTCTGTTAGCATATACTAATTGTACTGATTCTGAGCTAAGCAATATTATCAGTTCCTTCGAGTTCTTTCTGAATTGTTGCTTTTGGAAGGCTGAGGCTGCCAAGCTGGAGGTTATAGAATATCTAGAAACCATGACAGTAATTTTTATGGTTCTTTATTTTATTTTTCTTACATGCATTGTTCCTAGAAATTTAGGGGAAACATTTTCCCCCAAGGAGAAAAGACCTATTATTGAAGCTCATACAATCATCTCCAGCAAGTGATTTAAAATGGAAAGTTAATGGTAGAGTTGTATGGTGAAAGGCTGTTGCGTCCATCTCCAGCCCTTGACTTCCTTTTGTAGGTGGTTCTAGTGATAGTGTTCTGGGTATGGAGCATGTTGTCCTACCCCAGCAAAGCAGGGGGGTTTTGGAAATCCCAGTAACTCAAATTTTTTTTCCACTGTAGCCCACACTTACTTTGGCAAAAGAAAATTTGGAAGCAGTTACTTGGAGACAGTTGGCATCGCGTCTGTGAGGAAACAGCAGCACAATGAAGCACTTTCTGAGGTAAGTGACCAAGGCTTCCCCCATGAGCCCTCTGAAGTGAAGAAACTTCCTTGCCAGTTACAGAGCTATTTCCTCTGCTCCTCAGTCGTGGTCCCGAGATAGGGTCATTGGATTTGCATTTTGAATGGGGTAACGTGCATGGGGCCCCTCTCTTACTCTGTCTGCATTTTGAAGTTGAGCAAGCACTTGGAAGGGCCAAGAGAACCTGGTACCAAGAGCATGAATGTTCCTAGTGACCTTGGAGACATGTGTCCCTAAAGAATGATATGCAGCCACCTAAAAGTTGAGGTCTATAAGCCAGTTATTACGGGATCAATGAATGTGATTTGTGTAAAATCGTTGTTCTGAAATACAGAATTTTAAGTCTCCGAAATTTAGGACTTGGCTGACACACCATTCCACACTAATACTTCTCCCTGATCACAGCCTGCTTTCAGCTTGTTCCTGCTGCCCAATGATGCCTCAGCAATACCCATTACCAGCTCCCATACTGATCTGCACATATCTGTGTTACTGTTCTTTGGACTATCCTGCTGTTTAGAAACATTGGCTGAATCTCTTATGACTAACTCCAAGACTACTAATTGCCATCAGTTTTTCTATTAATGAAATATAATGAATTGCATTAAAATATGACAAAATAAAGCTAGTCTGAGTGTTAGAAAATTCAACATATTTTCCAGAGTGGTCTTCTTTTCCTCAAGATAGTGACCTCTGCCTGTTATACATTCTTGTTCTGCCCCGATTACCCTCTAAGTGAGTTGTAGGTGGGCTTGCTTCTTTAAAGAAATTATTTGACTCTATCAGAGGCAATTTAAGGCTTTCTTCTCCCCACTGGTTTTGTTTCCATCATTGCTTCTGGAGGCACAGATAGGGGAGTGGGGGATTCGCTGAGCTTGGGTATTGGCAGTGGTGACTTCTGGGTAATTATACAACACTATCTGGAGACCACAGTTAAACCATCTCCAGATGTCAGAGTTTGTTATCTTGAACAGAATAGTCACTAACCTGTTTACCTCAACCATGTTAAAAAATAGGATTTGAGATATCACTAAGGCATTTATCTGACCTGATATGTTTTCTCATTGCTATCTTTATTAACCCACCTATTTGTACAGTCAAGGAAGATGTGTGTTTATGACTATCTCCTGCATGCAACTGTGGATCTTTTAGCTGTAGAATTATGCTAACAGGAAGCTTCAATGCAATATGAATTTTAGCGTCCAGGAGCTTCCTCTGTTCTGTCTCAGGGACTGTGTGATGTGATAGTGAGACTTGTATCAAGCCTGTACTGATGAGCTTTTTCTACAGTGTCTCAGTGTGTTTCAGAAGAACCTGAGCCCCCCCCCCACCAACACCACCAACACACACACACACACACACACACACACACACACACACACACACACACACAAGTTTCCATTGATTGTTTCGGGATAACAAAAGGAAGTCCATTGCCCATTCTTGGTTGAATATTGTTTGCTGCTGGGAAACTCTAGAAACCCTTTCATTTCAGCCACAAAGAAGCCTGAATGAATTAGGTATTAATTCCTGATTCTATGTTCAGTAGCTGACTTTTACTGAGGAGAATCTCAGCGTTATTTAAAAGGCCACAGAGAGATTAATCTGTCGACTTCTGAAATGTTCTGAAATGAAAAGCTCCATGCCTAGACCAGAAGAAACTAAGTGAACTTTGAGGAATCCAGATTGTAAAAAATAATGAATGAATTTTAACTCGCATTTAAAGTATGTGTTGTCTGTCTAATCCTTTTTTTCTAACTGCCTCAATCAAAGCAGTTTATAAGAAAGGGTTTATTCAGCTCATGATTCTGGAAGCTATGAGTTCCAAGGTTGAGGGAATGCATCTGGAGAGGACCTTCTTGCTGACAGAGACCCTGAAGAATCCCAAGACTTCACAAAGTTCCACATGGTGAGAGGGGCACGTGACAGACATTCATTATATAACATTATATAACAGCCCCACTCCAAGATCATAATGGATTGATCCACTAAACCAAAATTGGACTCATCCACAAGGGTGCCACATCCATGGTCTAGGCATCTCTAGTCTTTCCACTTTACAATGGAAACCTGTGCAGACATGAGTTTTGCATGGGGCAAAGCATAGCAATAGCAGCCTCTTCTGCTGCTGCTTCTGTCATCCAGTATAGTAATGGTGGAGCTATTCCAAGCACAACGGAATGGAGAAAACGCTTTATGTGTGTTGTTTAATGCATTAGGGATAACAAATAATTGCTATAGAATGAGTACATCCAGCTAGAGGACATGTTTGTAATTGAATGCAGTCGTGGAATATTGGCTAAGTAACTGTCCGTGGCCACCCAATCAGATATCATCCACAGCTTCATAAGAAAGCAAAGGATACAGTGAATGAGAAAATGTACCTCTTCCATCTCAAAAAGAGGTCAGCATGTTTTATACCCCAAGTGAAACTAAGGCTTAAGGTTTAGTTTTTATAATATACCTTATTTATTTTAATTCAATTGATAGATAAAGTAACAAGGGGCTCAAGGCTCATACTGAAGACCTTTTTTTCTCATTAGAATTTCATTATTTTGAGACTGGATTTCAAAAAAAATCATCAGAACATTATTTTGGAAAATTCTGATAAAGGGAATTTTAAAGTTACTTCTCATAAATAATTGCCACTGACTCTTCCAGCCTCACGTCTCACTTCTCTATTGTGAACATTCCTGTGTATATATGTTCATTCTTGAGGTAACAAAGGAATGACAAGAATTTGCCAAACTCAAACCTCCAAGAGAGGAACTGAGCAACTCAATCTCCCTCCAGGCTTTGAAGTAATTGAGGGAAATATTTTACTATTCTGATTGGCTAAATAAAAGTCCTATCACTCACAAATATAACTGACTGGGGCTGTGTAAGTTTTTCCCACTTGTCTAACAGTTTGGTTCACTCATTCTTTCAATCAGCATTTGCTCTGATGACACCACATTATAGCATTTTTATTCTCAGAACAAGTGGAAGAAAGGACTTAATGGACCATCTTATAGAGGATGTTTAGCTAGTTTAGCCAGGCAGTTTAGCTAGTTGAATGTTCAAAGGCATACAGATATTTGAACCCAGAACTATTTCTAGTAGTATCCCCTTACCGTGTGCCACTTCGAGTCTTTGTGGGTGAGATGAATGGATAAGAGATGGTCTCTGCACCCAAGCAACAGAGCCACTGAAGAGGCAATGCCAAGTTAAGATATAAGGATGAGTGTGGCCTGTGGCAGGTTGCAGGCTTTTTGTCCTCTCTCCCTCTCTCTCTCTCTCTCTCTCTCTCTCTCTCTCTCTGTGTGTGTGTGTGTGTGTGTGTGTGTGTGTGTGTGTGTGTGTGTGTGTGCGTGCGCGCGCGCATGTATGGTGGTCAAAGGACAGCTCTGTGGAGTTCATTCTTTCATCCCACCTTTATATGTGTTCCAGGAAGCAAACTCCACTCACCAGTCTTTACTGCCTTACCCACTGAGCCATCTTGCCAACCTCCATATTTTGTTCTTCTTGTCCTTTTTCTTTACTAGACCGTGAATACATTAGGGACAAGGACGTTACATGACTCTCTTCCTCCTGTGCCATGATTTCCACTTCTTCATTCTTCTACATGACATTGTAACTCTGTTGTGTTTATGTTGAGTTCTATGAGGGAATAAGCCCACTACCTGAGGGTAATGTTTGCTATCCCCTGAAGTCATTCCCGGTCTCTGTCCTCCAAATCCTCTAGGCCATTAACTCGACAGAAATTGGATTATTCACAATAATGATAAGCACTAACATTACCTTTAGTTACCATGGCAACTCTTACAAGGAAAGCATTTCATTGGGGCTAGCTTACAGTTTTAGAGGTTTAATGCATTATCATCATAGTAGTGTGCCGGCAGACATGGTGCTGGCTACATCTTAGTCAGAAAGCAACAAGAAATGGACTGTGACACAAAGCAAAGCTTAAGCAAAAAAGAGACTTCAAAGCCTGTCCCACAGCAACACACTTCCTTTACAAAGGCCGCACCTATTTCAACAAAGCCACACCTTCCTACTCCTTATGAACTTATGGGGGCCAATTACATTCAAACTACTTCGTTCCTCTCCTTGGCCCCCATAAGCTTATAACAATATCATAATGCAAAATGCATTTAAGTCCAACTTCAGAAGCCCCCATAATCTATTACAGTCTCAACAATGTTTTAAAGTGCAAAGTTCAAAGTCTCTTCTGAGATTCATGGAATCTCTTAACTGTAATGCCCTATGAAATCAAAATAAAAAATACCACATACTTCCAACATATAATGGTACAAGATATACATTAGCATTCAAAAGTGTAGGGGAGGGAGCATAATGAGGAAATACTGGATCAAAGCAAGACCAAAACCCAGCTGGGCAAACTCCAAACTCTGCATCTCCATGTCTGATGTCAAAACACTCTTCAGACCTCCAACTCTGCTTTGTTGACTGCAACACACTTCTTTCTCTTGAGCTGGTCCCACTTCCTGTTAGCAGCTCTCCTCAGGAGGTGTTCCACGGCTCTGGTGTCTCCAACATCTTAGGGTCTCCAAGACAATCCAGGCTTCAGCTTCACAGCTTCATGCAATGGCCTCTCTAGGTCTCCACTCAGGGATACCCCTGGCACATGCTGGCCTCGGTGGCTTTCTCTAGGCTCAGAGGCAAATTCCATAACCCATTTCTTCTATCCTTAACTCTAACACCAGAACCACATGCTGAAGCAGGTTCTGCTGCTTGCTGGAGCTAGAACATGGCCTCCTTGTTCAATTACATCTTCACTACTTGCTGTTTTTGATTTTTACCTTTACTACCTAAGCTTGACTGTCCTTGAACTAGCTCTTTAAACCAGGCTGGCCTCAAATTCAGAAATCGAATACCTCTGCCTTCTGAGTGCTGGGATTAAAGGTATGAACCACTACACCCAGCTCTAAACCTTTCTTTATTTCTTTTCACAAGTTGGAAGCTTAGCTGGGTGGGAT